AGTATGTAACACTTCACCAGCCAGTTGATGCATTTGCTGCCCTTGGGCCAAAGGCACTGTAAGTGATAAGTTTATGGGTATCTCGCAAACCTCTCAAGATATTCAAGTTTGTAAGAATGGGACCGACCCAAAGGCATGCACAGGCACTCTTCCTCCCTAGGCCAGCTCCCTGACACCCGTGTCCAGAAGGCCATGGAGTCGTGACTTCTCAGGACACTTTTTCTTGGGTGTTTCTTGGGAGAGAAGAAAGAGAGAGCAGGTAGGCTCTTTAGAACTCTCCCTCCCCACAGGTCGTGGACAACATGATGTGTAAGGGGAAGCAGTAGGGACTGACATCCTCGCTAGTGCTTTATCCCCTCCTGAGTTTGGGAATAAAAGGTTTTGTATATGTAATTAAAGATTACTTTCTCTCAGTCGTTTTGTGGATCCAATTTGTAGATTCTCGTTTAAGTCAGGCCACCACTCAGTTTGATAAGAGTAGCTAATTGTTGTAAGAAATGCACAATAGCAAATGCTTGAGAATATTAACAAAGATTTGCGGAGGTTTGGCAGAAATTTGTAAATTATGTTAAAGAAAAAAACTCCACAGGCCCAAAATTGCATCACTTGTACTAAAAGCCCATGATACCAAACGTAGATTTAATACTGCTAATTTGCAGTTTCAGCCTCTCCCAGAAATATAAGCTTAATCAACCAGTCTGGAATTTTCTGGTCAAGCACCAGTAAGGTATTCTGTCTCATAGTCCCTGTCCATTCCCCATAGAAAGAAGAGGCCATCTGCATGATTAAAACAAAACAAAACAAAACAAAAAACCCTTCCCTTTCTCTTCCCCCAAAGAAAAGATATCCAGGCTCAAGAATTACCCTATCTTTTGTTACTAGCTCTCTTGTCCTACTCTTCTTCCTGTAAAAACGTTCCATTTCCTGCAGCCGCTCAGAATGCCCTTCTAGTTGCTGATGGGATGCTGCACCATTCATGAATCACTTAATTAAAGCCGATTAGATCTTCAGATTTACTCGGCTGAATTTTGTTTTTTTAACAGTAATAATCAACTTTAGCTGTAGATGCAAAAGCATCTAAATTTAAATTTAAAACATTGCTAGTCATTTTTATTCTTAATGCAATTCAGAACAGTTCTCGTTTCTTATGCTCCGGAAGACATTTCTTGGTTTTAGAAAAGTAGCAACCTACCAAACTCATTTTCTTTCACTTATTTTTTTTTTTTTAAAAAAACAGCTTTCACGTATCATAAAATTCACTCATTTGAAGTGCACAATTCAGTGGTTCTTAGTGTGTTCAGAGTTTTGCAACCATTACCACAATCAGTTCTAGAACATTTTTATCACCCTCAAAAGACAACCCAGAACCATTAGTCGTTCCTCATTTCATTCCGAACTGTACAGCCCAAGGCAACCACTAATCTATTTTCTGTCTCTATAGATTTGCCTATTCTGGACATATAAATGGAATCATACAATATGTGGTCTCTCTTGTCTGGCTTCTACACTTTCATTTAAAGCCTCCTGCTAGCTGAAGGCTTGACAGAGAATTAAGGAAATTGAAACTGGAAAGAACAGCTTTGAAATCAATATTCCCCCCACTGAAGAACTTTTTTCAACAAATCTTGAAAACAATAAGAACCTCTATTTATTATTATATTAGCACAGCGGTGTCCATAACTTAGTACTTCGAATCGAGTCCTCACTGTGTATCAGTAACCGTGCTGGATCTTTACATATAATATCTCATTAAATCCTGGCGATCACTGACCATTATTCCCATTTACACCTGAGAAGTCTTGTAGGTCAGTGGGGTTTTGTAATTTGCCCAGAATCACACACCTACGAAGTGGCAGAGCTGAGAGTTGAACCAGTCTTTGTGCCCCACTGTTGGGAGTTGAGCTAAATTGGCCAGCTTTGAGATAAAGTATGGAGCTGAGTTAAATTGGCGAGCTTTGAGATAAGTGGTACTAAAACTATTTTAATCACTCAGTGCTTTCAAAGAAGGGAGTTGTGAAAACTGCATCTGTTTTGCAGGACAGGTAATTGGACTGACCTTGAATCTTGACTGCTCTTTTCTCATTGCAATGCTATAAGTAGTGTGTTTTGAATAAACTCGGGGACACAGACACAGACACAGACACAGCTTGTATCTGTGCTCCCTCCTGCAGTTCTGTCTGTCTTCTTTCTTTTCCTCAGTCCATGCTCCCCCTTTCAGGTACCCTGAATTACTTCGTCGGCTGGCTCCGACACCCCATGCACTATAATCCAGTTCATAGTTCCTGTTTATCCCAAAGCCATGAGATTCCCATGAACTCAACGGTATCAGTCACAGTTCTTCGTTATAAACAGCAGCCCCCACTCTAGCAGTGTTAAGCAGAAAAGGAGTTTATTAAAGGACACCGAAACTTTGGGGAGGGCTGGAGAAAGTGGCCCAAGGTTGTTCCCAGGGACAATGCCTAAAACCACACTGAAGAAGTGGCCTGGTGAGAAAAACACCAAAGCTGCTGTGGACACGACCATGCAGTACAAGCCAGGAACTTCGCTGTCGCTGCTACCGACACTGACACCACTTCTGTGCCAGGAGCTCCCCCTGGCAGACACTGCCTTCCTGCACCAGCTAAGTGACAAAGAGCCAATGCATTTCCTCCCATACCTCATTCTGAACCCACATCTCCCAAGGACAGGTCTTGTTGGCAGAGCCTAGGTCACATGTGCATTTCTTAACATATTTTAGAAAATTAGGGGTTTTCTCTCCTGCCAAGGCCAACTTTAAAAGTCTGATTTCTTGTGCTGGGAACATCATCCTCAGACGAATGACACATGCCACCATGAATATGGACTGTTTGGAGGATGACAGGCAGCAAAAGTACAACAGCCATCCAATACATCATTTAAGCAAAGCTCACTGAGAGTCTTGGGGCTCAACTGGGCAAATTATGGTATAAAGTGTGGCTGAATGGAAAAGCTGAGAGGACGAAGCCACAGAACCAGGATCACCCACAGAGATAAAACCAGAAAGAGCAAGAAGCCCAGCTATAAATGCCCAAACTAAATCACCACTGAACCACATGCTCCTTGCTAGAACGTTCTCAAGATGCACCAAGAAGGACCCTGCCCTGCCACTGAGTAGGTCTCTCTTGTAATAATGTTAAGTTTACTGGCATGTATTCGGATGTATCTGCCCTGTTGAGACCTTTAAGTAGTATCTTTCACTTAGTAGGGCTGGGGGACAATGGCATACATCAGTTATCTAGAGAAGATAGGGGTCCTTGAAGAGGAAGCCAGATCTTTGAAACTGGTCTTGGCAGGAAAGAAAATCCCATAGACCTTACCTTCCTAAGTCTAGATTTGGAGGAGTGGGGGTATGCATAGGGCACTTTAGGGCTGTCCCAGAGGCAAGAGAATGAGGGGCTCTGTCAAGCCAAAGGAGGCTTGGGACTGGGCTCAGAGGCAAACTGGAGAGGGCCATGGGCCAGAGTGGAGTCTTCCCTTCCCTTCTGTCATCCTTGAATCGTGAGGAAAGTTGTAATTTGATGTTCTAGTCTTGTCTCAGTCGGGCAAGAAGTGTCGTGACCACATTTGTGGGTCTGCCCTTAGGCCGGAGAAGGAGCCAGGTGTCCCCCATCTGGAGCCGAGGTGGTGACAGCAGCAGTAATACCAAGAAAAGTGAGTACCTGAGGATAATTTTGGGGGCTGAGGGTTCCACTTGTCTCAGTTACTGATTTCTGAGAATCCAGGTGGTGGAATGGTGGGTTCCCTTTCAGGACTTCAGAAAATGTGTGTTGATGAACAGAACATTGTGGAAAAGGAAAGGCACTACTTCTAGGAACAGGCGAATCACCATTGGCCGTGTCTGAGAGGTATTGGGAGTGTCCCAAAAGATGGCTGAGGCCCCATGACGGGGACCCAGGCAGTTGGCAGCAGGAAAGTATGTTAGGAAGTAATAAGCCCCAGCCATAGAGACAGGTTAGAGGGGACTTTCATCTTTGGGAGGGGTACCCCCAAAAGTAGGGCTATGTCCTGGCTGCAGATAAAGAAAATGAATAGTAATGTAGTCATTGTATCAAAGAACTGAAAACTATCGTCTTGAGATACCAAACTACTGAGGCCAAGCCTCGGGCACACAGAAAACGGCAAAACCGTTTCACAGAGCTGTCAAAAGCCACCGCAGCTCTACGATTTGAAGAAAGGAGCTGTGGAAAGGCTGGGAACCAGGCAGAGTCTGATATGGCCTTTACTGTGTTCAGAAATCTTGATAAATTACTACTACACCTGAAAAGCTGACAATTAGAAGGTGAAAAACTAACAGGAAAAAGTCAATGCTGCCTCATAAGAGAGATTAGTGTCAGATTCCAATAAACTGGCCAAAATCTTTTCTTATCTGGCGTTTTGTTACTTAAATAAGTGAATCTGTTTTTACATAAGTGAATTTGCCTCCTTAACAAGAATAATCTATGTCATAGTCAGTTTTGATATCGTCAGTCAAAAAAGGTAAAAAGCACTTGGAATATTACTCAGCCATAAAAATAAAAATGATATCTTACCATTTGAAACAACTTGGATGGATTTAGTGGGTATTATGCTAAGTGAAATAAGTCAGACATAGAAAGACAAAATGCCATATGATTTCACATATATGTGGAATGTGAGGAACAAAATAAGTGAACAAAATGAAAACAGATTGGGGAGTTTGAGGGCTGTGTAAAAATGGTGAGGGGATTAAGAAGTACAAATTGGCAGTTACAAAATAGTCACAAGGATAGAGAATATAATCAATAATATTGTAATAATTATGTATAGTGCCACATGGGTACTAGACTTATCAGGGGGATCACTTTGTAAATTATATAAATGTCTGACCACGATGCTATACACCTGAAACTAATATAATATTGAATGTCAACTCTAATTGAAAAATAAAAATTTAAAAGATACTTATTTAGGTGGTCAGTCAAAAATATGGTTATTATTATTTGTTTATACAATGGGCCACTGAATAATCATAAAAATTAACTTTATTAATACAGTCAACATTTACAAACATAAACTGTCCTGTACTGAAATTAAGGATTTATTAAAGTTTTCTGGTAACTTAACCTTCCCATCCATTATCCAGTATTGAAAATAGTTTCCTTTATATATGTTGCTGCAATGCCTTAGGTACCATACATCTAATTCCCATTTTTAATAAGATTCACAGAATCATTGCCATCTAAAATATTTTAGAACTCAGCTCTTACTATAAAGCTATATTCATACCGTTCACAATTTTGTTTAGAGTAATACTATTATTATAGAGACCAAATGATAACTCATTCAACAAAATACTCATGTATTATACCAATTAATGCCCAATCATCTAAGCAAAAAGGCCTGAATTTTCCTTTTGAATATGTAGTTTTGTTTTAATTATCGCATACTTTACAAAATAACTGTTTCTCCAAAACCAGCGTGGCAAGTGCCATGCTTCTGAACTGCATCCATAATATGGTATCCTGAATTAAATAAGGAAACACACCTGCTCCTTTTGACCACTCTCCATATCCTTCTAGTTGTCCAATTCTCTGTCTAAAGCAATTACATGAACTAAAAAATGTCAGATTTTCTGAAAGTGGATGGGACACAACAATCTCATAATTGTCAATGTTGTCATTTGCCAAAGCTGCAAAATGACATCTTGTCTTTATGAAAGGATTCCTAAGACAGTAAAGTGAGATTTCAAATGGCTGAAAAAACCTCTGGGAGTCCCACATGAGACAAAGAGACTGAACATTTCAATCGCTGATTAGAGATGAAGCCAGAAGTGAAATCTTAAGTTTCCATTGAGCCCAAGGAATTTTTTTTCCACCTCTGAAAGGTCAGAAAATTCAGTCACAACTCTTTAAAAGTGGAAATTAGAGTCTATTTCTACAATAGCTAAAATCAACTAGTTTGGCTGATTGACTTCTGCAGCCAATGCATCATGAAGTTAGGCAGGAAAAGGTACAATCCAGATATTTGGCATTTTTTTCTTTTTTAATTCAGTACCCACAGAGAAGGCCGAGAGAGAGAAAGAGAGAGAGAGAGAAAGTATGTGTGTTCAGTAACTCCATTAGGCTAATTTCCTGATCCTAACATTTCCACCCATATAGAGTGTCCCAAAGTCTTAGAACAGTTTTGAGCTTTAATAAAATCTAAGGTTTACAGATGAAGCAAACTTGCAGAAAACATACATCATTTGGAGGTTCACTTGCCTACCTTCTATAATTTTGTGACTTTTGAGAATACGTTTTTAATTTTTGTTGTTGTTGCTAAGTACCTGTGTTTAAAGATGGCAAAAAGCAACTTTCTAAATTAGAGCTTAAAACTGCACTTTTGGAATATTCTTTTATGATCCCCAGTCTGAGTCCCTGTCCTAACTCATTTTACCTGCTGACTGACAGTTAAACTCTGAAATAGATTAAATTGTTTTCTTACAAGTAAGTTCTCTTCTTTTCTTGCTATATTCCCAGAGCAAAGCTGGTTGAACACATCCCTGATGGAGTTTCTTACAGCTTTCTCACTTACACATCACTGGAGATGTGGTTAGTTTTGTGAAAAGTACCCAGTTGTGAAAAGGTTCTCAAACTCCTGTGTTACACCCATAAATCTCAGCCTCTATGTGTGATGTCAAGACAACTGAAAATGATTTGGGGCAGTACCGTGAACATGAAATGGTTATATTTTAATAAATTTCCATGTATTCGTCCAGTTGAAAAAACTTCTCTTGACTCCAGGTGTTTTCTTCCCTTCTCCCTGATCAATGTTACTTGGATTTTGATCTGTGACTTCTTTTGTTTTTATAAGGGTCTCATATATTTCCTGGGCTTTGGCAATTTCCTTCTGTGCATCAAAATGGACTTTTTGCCTGGTTAGGAGGGGAACAATTAAATTAAAATCATTAATTCGCTTGTTTAGTTTTCTGATGTTTTCTTGAAACTGCTCACAAACTTGGTTCCACTGTTTCTGTTCAGTTGGTGTCATTGGATTCCCAAGTTTTTTCCTTGACACTAAAATTGCCTCTCTGAGTTGATCAATAGTATCCTTTATTTCCTTTTGCATTAGGATCCACTCTGGTTGGTATCCATTATCTATCAATATTCTGTTCAGGTTGTGGGTCATGGGATCAATATATGAACAGCCAGAAAATTTTTTTAGAGGTTTTCCTTTACCACTGAGATTGTCAAAATCTCCTTTTGCCATTGATTCCTGAATGAGATCCTCCACTAAACGCTCTATTGCTTGAGTTATCTTTTGTTCTTTACTATGTCTTACATCTTTAACAGCTAAACTATCAACGAAATACTGGCTTTGTAGTTTCTGCTTTTGATATTCCATCACTTGCTCAGTTGCACGGTCCGCTCTAAATTGCCTGTATTGCTTCTCTCGTTGACTTGGAGTTCCAAAACCAATACCTTCAAAACTTAAATAATGCCGATGTTGGGGTGTTTTATATTTGAATTTTTCTTCTTCTTCTTCTTCAACTTTATTCTGCCTGGCATTTGTTTGTTCTATCACATGGGAAAGCACCTTCCTATAAGCTTCTTCGATCTTTATAAATGTTGCAGAATCAGCTGTAGTAGAGCCAGTGTCTGGATGGTATTGCTTGGCAAGCTTACGAAAAGATTCCCTGACATCATCTGCAGAGCATCCTTCATCTAGATTCAGCAGTCTATAATATTCTCTCATCTCCTTTTTGGATTTATGAGTTGACATCATCCTATGTCTAATTACGCCAAGATAAGGAAGCATTTTCATTCGATTAGGAATCACTGCAGCATTTATCAGATGAGATCTTAAGATCTGAGCCATCATCACATACATTGTGTTCATTATTGTATCCAGAGTTCTTCCTAGCAATGATCTATAAAACCACAACAAATATAAGGTGAAGAAAGTTGTATTATCTGCTAATTTCATACTTTCAGCAATAAGGAATTATAAATACAGTATGGGGCAGTACTTTCTAAGGCTGCTGCCAAAATTCATAAAGCTATATTTCACTTATGTGGGCAGAGAAATGGAAGTTGATGATATTAGCATTAACATACTGTGATATAATTTGGATTCTAATCACTAACCACAGAATTTTAGAGCAGGCAAGTTCTTAGAGACCATCTAATCCAATCTTCTCATTTTATGAGAAAATGTAGGCCTACATTTTATGAGAAAATGTAGACTGTTAAGCAAAGTAACCAAGTCACGTAGCGAATTGTAAGCAAAATGATCAGAGCACAAGAAGTTTAATTGTCTGTATCCACAGCAGATTGTCAACTTCATCAGCACCACTATTTCTTAGTGTTATTACTGTCTTTATTGTCTCAAGGAGTCTTCTCATGAGATTTACACACATGAAACAGGACACGACAAAGTGTGTACCCAGTCTGACACTAAATTGAATAAAATCAAGCATCCAAAAGACTTGTTAGAAAGGAGCTATTCATGACACGCCAGAAAACCAAGGTGGTCCCAACATGTTAGCTGTTATTTTGAAAATGCATGGTATAATACAGAAGAAAGACTTGTACGTAGCTAATGGCAATGAAATGATGCAAGTGGTTTGTTTAACTGTGATTTTGATGTATAAACCCTAAAACTGAGGACCCCAATTTTCTGGACAATTAAGGTAAATGGCTTTTGGAGTCGCTTGGGATGGTGGTGGTTGCGCTGTGGTCGTTGTGGGGGAGTGGTCAGTCCCGATGAGGGACACGCCCCACCCCGCCCCCTACTCACCACAGACGTGGGTAAGGGGCCCGCCGGCTTCCGCCCCCATGCTGCGCCTCTGCGCATGCGTGCGCGGTCTGTCCTTCACTCGCCCGGCGACTCTGGGCGGCAGGGGGCGAGTGTCCTCACTGGACTAGACCATCTGTCGTTTTATCCTGAGGGGACTTGAGGAAGCAGCGGAGGGCAGAATCATACCTACTCGGGACATATCCTACCTTACTATTGGATCCAAGAATGTCTCTTAAAACGAACTCAACCCAAGAGGACACAGGCAGCATATTTCGGGAGGACCCGTTTTGCCCAGGGCGATCCGCTCCGTCTCCGTCCCCACCTCTAGCGGGAGGTGGTCTGGTCGATTGGGATTGTGGGAGATGTAGTTTACCCTCCCGGAAGTGCGACGCGCTTTGGGATCCGCCGCGCTCATGCGCGGGCGCCTCCCGCGAAGGAGGCGGGGTGCGAGCAGCACCGGAACAGAGGCGTGTCGGTGCTGTTGCGGAGTGCTGTCAGTGGAGGTTGGGGCCTTTGAAGTCTTAGGGGTTTGGAAAGTGATGGCCCTCAGTAACTAATTCTTGGGAGGGGCAGAGAGTACGTTTCCCAGAACAGGACCTGAACGGCCTTTTCCGGGTCTGCAGACCGGGACACCAGCGCAGAGACGTGAAAGGTCGACCTAACCCAGGATGGCCTAACCCAGACTAGAAACCTAGCCTTTCATGAATTTAGCAAGTACTTAGTGAGAGGCTCGCTTAGCCAGGTGTTGGTAGAGGGCGAGGACAGTCGAGGACAAAATCCAAATAGGCGTCTGCTGGCTTTAAGTTCAGTCACCGTAATGGGAATATACGACGGGGAGGTAATTAAAAATACGAAAGAGAAACTTGGGGCATCATATCTGGGTTTAAAATCTTATTTCTTCCATGTGCTTTTTCCCTGTGTCTGTTTATGAGAGTACTAATAAATGGTAAACGTGTATTTAGCACTTTTGCCGGGCACTGTACTAAGTGCTTTATGTATAGTCTCTTAATCATTACAACAGCCCTTTAAGGTCAATGCTGTTGTTTTTCCTATTTTACATATGATGAAATAATTGCATCATGTTTACTGAGTTTTTGTGAGAATTGCACAATGTATGTAAAACCATTGGCACAGTGCCTGGCACTCTGAGTAAAATTTTTATTATGACTAGATCTAAAGAGAGCCAGAAATAGGAGCTAGCTGTTCTAAGCTTCTGAGATATAGACAGTATAATAATTTATTACCTTCTCTGTTGGTGCACAGAGGTTTAAATTCTAATGCAGAGGGATTTCCTTATAAGCAAACAATGAACATAAAAGAACTCCTGTGTGAAAGAAAATAGTGTTTCTACAAGTGTTAAACACAGCATAAAAGCATCAATACAGTTTTAAAACCACTCCTAGTTGTATAGCACTTTTCATTTTACAAAGGTTTCATCACATCGAAATTTTAACGTGATGTTTGTATCTTATTAATAATTATACTTCAGTTCCAAGTAGTTAAATGACTTGGTTAAGTTGGTAAATGGCAAATCTAGGACTAGAACTGTAAGTCTGTTTCTCTTTTTAGAGGACCTGTTTTAATAGTATGATTCTGTATGTGTAGAAGGTAAATTGGAGTCAGCCAAGGTATCCATAAAAAACACTTTCAGCTGCAAAGCGTACACTAGCTACCTGATTGGATTATGTTTCTAATGTATAAGAAATGTAGAGATGGGCCATTCCTGATATTGATCTAGCTATCAGAGTTGCCACATTGCTTTACCATTCTCTCTCTGTATAGGTACTTTTTTTTTTCTGAATCATTTAAAAGTAATTGCATGTATCACATCTCTTTACCCCAAAGTACTTCAGTATTTCATCAGAACAAGGACATTCTCTTATGTCGCCATAGCAGTTACCAAAATCAGCAGATTTAACATCGATACAATATTATTTAATGTTACAGTTTTGTGTTCCAGTTTCACCAATTGTGTTAATGATGTCCTTCAGAGCAATACATAGACTTTTAAGTCAGCAGGTCGAATGATAAACCAAAGCATTCTTGTTCAGTGTAGTTCTAGGCAGAAAGAGTCTACCATGTTGTAATAATAGTTCTTTTCTTTTTAAAAAAGGTGGCCACATATTCTTCAGTCAGCAGTCCTAGTGATTGTAATAAGATGTTAAAATATCAGATTTAGAGTCAGAATAAACACAGGTTGACTAGCATTTTTAATATGGTTGTATTACCTTGCTTAATTAAACTCGACTCAAAAATGTGGTTTTAAGGCAAAAATGTGTTCTGTTTTTAGTATAACATTCTTAACCATATTTAGGTTATGTCATGATTAAAATCACACGTGAACCTCAGTCTGTTGTTTTCCACAAAGTCTAATTATTACCTCAAGTTTATCAGCTGAGATGTAGTTTAATCTTACACATAAGGACTGGTTTTAAGTGAAAGTACGTTGAATTGGATATATGTGGTATTTCCTAGTTTAGAGCATCTTTTTCATGAGTCTCTCACAATATAGTTGAGCATTTCAAACAAATTTTCCCATAAACAGGAGGAAAGTAGACAGTTGGTAAGAATTTAGTCAGGGCACCAAAACCTTTACTAATTATGTTACTGAGTGGGTGGAAAATAGATGATATTTTTAAAAGTTACGAAAACGCAAATTTCTTGACTTTATAATTATATCAAATATTTACTGACTACCACAAGGAGTGTGTTACTGCAAAAGCAACCTCTTTTTTCTTTGTACTCTCAGATGTAATTTCACACTTTGACTAAAGCAAGTGAGGGTTTTTTTTTTCCTTTTTGTTTGCCGGTTCTGTGATGACTGCAAAGAAGTTCATTTTTTTTTTTCCCAATAAGTTGCCATAGTAACCAAAAATCACACTTCCTTGAAGATTGATTTATGATTCAGTCTGGATCTTAAAACTGAATGTTGTCCAGTGACATTTGCAAATGGTATCTTCTGGATCCACAATTTTTAGAACAACCATGAAAATGCTTTCCTCTCTGAGTGACATCTGAATCAATATTTTACTCCATTTGATCAAGGAAGAGTTTGATGCAGAGAGCGTCAGCTTTAAAATAAAGAAGTGGGTAGATTTACAGAGTACAGCACTAAATGCTAAGGGAAAGGTTTCATAGAAAAGAGAAGATTCACATTCATTTGGGTATTTTTTTCTTTTCCCTCGTCCCAGGCAGATTAACCAGTTATTGAATTATTCTAAGACAGTCAGTAAGGGCCACATACAGAATTTGTGGATCTTTGCTAATGGTAAACTGCCTTCCCTTACCCAGGATATCTAATTTTCATTTTTGCTATTGAATTAATTGATGGTTTATTGTCACGAGCCTGAATTATCTGCATTTGACTGGTGCTAATGTACAGCACTTTCTGTTCCTTGAAATTATGAATAATGTATATACCTCCCTCTAATTGCAGGCCACTAGTCGAGAAAACAAATGTGTATCAGCTGCCTGGGAGTCAAGATTTGAATTGTTTCCAGCCCATATTACATTTACTCAGCATGTTTATTGAAATCACTGCACAACCACACTATGCTTTTCTCACGCTTCAAAATTTGTTTCCAGCTTTATTGAGGTATAATTGACAAATAAGAATTGTGTATATTTAAGGTGTACAACTTGATAGTTTGGTATACGTATACATTGTGAAGTAATCACCACAAACTAATATCCTGCACCTCATGTAGTTACTGTTTATCTTTTTTCTTTTTTTTCTTTCTTTTTTTGGGGGAGGAGGGTGAAGATCTACTCTCTTAGCAAATTTCAAGGACACAATACAGTATCATTAATTATAGTCAATCAAAATGTTTTGATAAGTTAAAAAGGCCAGAACAAGGAGAGTTTGCCTCCTTCCTGTCACTGCTCTTTAATCGTCAAAAAATTCTTTTTTGGGGGGAGGAGGGTGAAGATCTACTCTCTTAGCAAATTTCAAGGACACAATACAGTATCATTAATTATAGTCAATCAAAATGTTTTGATAAGTTAAAAAGGCCAGAACAAGGAGAGTTTGCCTCCTTCCTGTCACTGCTCTTTAATCGTCAAAAAATTCAGCAACAAAACTCAAAATACATTAAAACTGTCACGTACCACTATTTGGTAGAGAACCATCCAAAATGCTTTACAGAGAGAATTGGTTTTAAGGCAAATCCAACTCCCAAGGCACCTTTGTAATGAGATGTTAGGGTGCTTCTGTTTAAAATGCCCACCACCTAGGGATATCCCTTGATGACCTTTTGACCTTAGGGTTTGTCCAGAGACAACTGAAGCTTTGGGCGAGGTTGATATTGGATCATTTGGCCCATGCCATTCTCAACAGAAGAACACAGTAAATGAGTACATACATCCAGTTTGTTACCTAAGCTCCTTTTTGAAGGGGCTCTTCTCGATTAAGTAAATAACATTTCTTGTATTAAATGAAATTAAAGAACCACGTTATTTCTTTCCTTGACAGCTGAGGCTTAATTATCTACTCTGGGCAATATCCACAGTGGGCATTTGGTTCTGTCTTAGTTCTTAAGGAAATACACACTGAAATATTTATGGATAAAATGATATGATGTCTGGATATTACTCTCTTATGATTTAGAAATGAGGGCATGTACAGAGCAAGGGAGCAAGAGAGAGTAAACAGCAAACTGGAGGGAGATGTTAATTAGGAAATCTAGATGAAGGTTATTTGGAAGGTTTTTGTATTCTTGCAATTTTTCTGTAAGTCATTTTTAATTTCTTAAATTTATAATTGCCAAAAATTGGGAGCAATCAAGATGTCTTTCAATAGATGAATAGATAAACTGTGGTACATCATACGATGGAATATTATTCAGTGATAAAAAGTAATCGAGTTAACAAGCTATGAAAAGAATGGAGAAAACTTAAGTGCATATTGCAGAGTGAAAGAAGCCAATTTAAAAAAGCTACATGTTGTATAATTCCAACTTTACGACGTTCTGGAAAAGAAAAAACTATAGAGACAGTAAAAAGATCAGTGGATTAAAAATGGGCAAAGGAATTTAATAGACATTTCTCCAAGATATATAAATGGCCAACAAGCATAAGAAAAGATGTTCAACATCATTAAATCATTAGGAAAATGCACATCAAAACTGCAATAAGATATCACATCACATCCATTAGGATGGTTACTATTTAAAAAACAACCACAACAGAAAATAACAAGTGGTGGCTAAGTCGTAGAGAAATGGGAACTTTTGTGCATTGTTGTGAGGATGTAAAATGGTGGAGACGTTTTTGATTGTTAGAATTGAGAATGGTTACTGGCATCGAGTGAGTAGAGAACAGGAATGCTGCTCAACA